TCTTATTATAGATATTAATATTTTATTATTGCGGTAAATATTAATCAGAGAAATTCTTATAAAATTCTCCATGATTACTATGATTTTCAGAATAAATTCTAAGAAAAAATTATATCTCTGTATATACGTATATTATCTCTTCTTACTTTTACATCATTGCCAGAGGGAAATGTAAAATGTGTTGCAAGGAAAAAAGTGATCATTTCATTTATTTGATATGACATTTTCTCCATTATTTTCTCTAGTTTTATACTTTCGAATTCTTCGTCTAGATAGGTCTCAGAATTTTTCATCTGCAAGTTTTTAAAATTCCAAATTTTGAAGCTGAAATAATCTTTTTATTAGGATATTTACATCTTGAAAAAGCGACGCTAAAAAGTTGTATATCCTTGAATCCACGTATTCGCAAGATCACTCGTCACTATTCAAGTATGATTTCATTTCTGGAATTGCGCAATATATTCAGATTTCACGAATAACAAATACACATACATATTCATATTATAGTACGGATAATCAGCTTTCGATTTCTGATGTGTAATTCGAGAATCACTTCTGAATAGAGTTAGAAATCGCGGCATCCTTGGACACCCGGTATTTCCCGGTCGTCTCCGTTTAGTTCGTTTTTCCTGCGTAATTCTCTGAAACTCTCCTTTTCCTTTTATTTTTCTCTCCTCTCTGGCGATGCACCTTGCACCATAAAGTCCGACTCCTCGGCGTCATCAGTACGGCTTGTGGCAATGTAAAGTGGCCGTGTATAAGCCGAGGCACGGTGCGTAAGACAGATGTTGTCCTCGAGGAGCAAATAAAATCAAGGGAAAAGGAAGCGAGACGATTACGACGACGACAACGACAGTCAACCGTTCTGTTCCATTACCCCGTTGCATCTCGTTCGAGTAAAAGCGAGAAACTCGGCCGAGAGATCACCGTGAATTTTGCGCGTGAAATGCAACATTTCGCGAGAGGATGGAAAAAATCCTTATTTAAGCATATATACAGACGGACGAAAACACGTGTCTCTTCGACATTTTTTCTCTGGTAAAATTACAAAAATTCGTGTAGAAAATATGCACATATTTATGTATTTAAACGTTTCGTTTTCAAACTGCTCTTTTTTACAAATCAATTTCCGTTCCTGCATTGCGCGCATAAAGAGGAATAAAAATCAATTAAAAATAAATAAATAAATAAAAATAAATCGATCAAAAGAACCGCTGATAAAACGCAATAGGGAATTGAAATTTTCACGTCGCGGCGGCGGCACTCACGGTGCCGTTAAGCAACGGTGCATCGCCTTCGCCGGTGCGCTGCATCGCGTTGCATAGCAGCGGAATTATTTGATGCGCGCAGAAGATTGTGAATAATCAACATCGACTCTCCCGGCGAAATTGGCGCATATCGATTCAACGAAATGATAATTCCTTAGCGACGGAAGCGTTGAACGCATATATATGTGCATTTTGTCCGGTCAGTGCTAGGATGCACATTCCAAGTGCACTGCACTTTCTAGCGGTCGGCGATCCGGCGCGCGTCTTCCGGTCTTCGAACTTGGGAGGAATGACGCTAATTACGATTCAAAATATATCCGGTAATGATCGTGTAAAAGTGATCGATCGTTTTTTTCCTTCGAGAAAAATTGATGAACCCTCAACGGATGAGGAATCAATTTATTTGAGCGTTAATAAAGATAATTTAACGGCTATAAGAGGGTATACACATCGGTCGTTTTCCTCCTGCGTTTTTCTTAACGATCGACGGATTAAGAATAGTATAATACATGCTCCTCTTACAGCTGCAAAGCAGCGGTCGTCTTATATATGTTAAGTTAACGGTATGGTAACGGTCGTACGCGGATGTTAACTGCGATATTAACTGCGCGATCCTTAATGCCGCCATAATCGTTGGCCCATTACTCAAATTACTTGCTCTTGCTATTAACCGTATGAGAGATGCAACGCCGCTGCAGTCAAACACATTTCGTTCTTCGATTAATTGAGAAGCGTATCCCGAAGGTCGACCGACCTTCCGATCAATCGAGCGATTGCCTTCTTGAATTCTTTATTATCACGTACAAAAGATATATTATAATTCTACACATATGTGTTCTATAATCCCTTCAATAATTCTCATTTCAATTTATCTTTATTATTATGACGGTCTGACATTTGAATTACAAGGATGCAAAACATGCGCATGAACGCTAAATCCTTTTTGACATTTGAAATTAATTATGTCACGTTTAATTAACCCATTTCTATTTTGTAGTGCATTATACATATATACATATACATATATATATATATATATATATATATATGTATATATCCAACAATAGTTAGCAATACGCAACGCGATTCAATCTATACACGGGAAGAATTTTCTTTTAGAATTTCTTCTGAAAATTATGGTAAATATATATGGGACAATAAAGAAGAATTTTATAAGAGTTTCTCTGATGAAATATTTATCACAATAAAAAATATTATTACACGTGTATACATAGTAAAATTAATCGAACATATTTTATATCTTATATATTGTGGTAGATATTAATATTTTTTAAGAGTTTAACTAGGCTCTGTAATATATAAATATAAATTTAACATATATAAGATAGGCAATAAGAGCCAAATCGCGGATGACAGTGCGTTATTCTAAACGAAACTAAATTTTTTCGTTAGAATTAAATACCTGTGCACAAGGCACCAAATTTTTACTTGGACACGGCCAAGATATAAAATTGGAATAATCTCTACAAGAGATTTTTAATTCCATGTATCCCCTATTCCCCCTAAAGAAATAAAGTGCGAGAGAAAAATATAGATCCGAAAGTCGCAGAATCGGGAATCGAACCCGAGACCTTTCGCTTGCCGGGCGACTGCTCTTCCAACTGAGCTATTCAGATCCTTTCGATTCTATACTTTTCTCTGTTATATATATTAATGTTGGTAAATAAACGCCTTTAAGCCAGCGTGTATAAATTAAGAGTTTAACTAGGCTCTGTAATATATAAATATAAATTTAACATTTATAAGATAGGCAATAAGAGCCAAATCGCGGATGACAGTGCGTTATTCTAAACGAAACTAAATTTTTTCGTTAGAATTAAATACCTGTGCACAAGGCACCAAATTTTTACTTGGACACGGCCAAGATATAAAATTGGAATAATCTCTACAAGAGATTTTTAATTCCATGTATCCCCTATTCCCCCTAAAGAAATAAAGTGCGAGAGAAAAATATAGATCCGAAAGTCGCAGAATCGGGAATCGATCGGGATTTTATATCTTGGCCGTGTCCAAGTAAAAATTTGGTGCCTTGTGCACAGGTATTTAATTCTAACGAAAAAATTTAGTTTCGTTTAGAATAACGCACTGTCATCCGCGATTTGGCTCTTATTGCCTATCTTATATATGTTAAATTTATATTTATATATTACAGAGCCTAGTTAAACTCTTAATTTATACACGCTGGCTTAAAGGCGTTTATTTACCAACATTAATATATATAACAGAGAAAAGTATAGAATCGAAAGGATCTGAATAGCTCAGTTGGAAGAGCAGTCGCCCGGCAAGCGAAAGGTCTCGGGTTCGATTCCCGATTCTGCGACTTTCGGATCTATATTTTTCTCTCGCACTTTATTTCTTTAGGGGGAATAGGGGATACATGGAATTAAAAATCTCTTGTAGAGATTATTCCAATTTTATATCTTGGCCGTGTCCAAGTAAAAATTTGGTGCCTTGTGCACAGGTATTTAATTCTAACGAAAAAATTTAGTTTCGTTTAGAATAACGCACTGTCATCCGCGATTTGGCTCTTATTGCCTATCTTATATATGTTAAATTTATATTTAATATTTTTTATTGTGGTAAAAATATTAACCAGAGAAACTCGAATTTTATAAGAGTTTCTCTAATTAAATATTTCTCACAATAAAAAATATTAATACACATGTACATAATAAAATTAATCGAACATATTTTATATCTTATTGTGGTAGATATTAATATTTTTATTGTGGTAAAAAATTAATCAGAGAAACTCTAATTTTATAAGAGTTTCTCTGATGAAATATTTATCACAATAAAAAATATTAATACACAATAGGTACATAGTAAAATTAATCAAACATAAAATTCTTTCGCACGATTACCCTGACTTTCAGGGTAAATTCTAAGAGAAAAATATTCTCTCTGTAGAGATACACGCGTTAATATTTTCGATATAGGGAAAAGACGTAATCGCAACGTATCGAAACGATTATCCTATATCAGGCAAGGCAGCGTTCGCCAGGTTAATTGCACGAGGGTGAGATTTCAGGCTGCTTCCTGGCGGCGATCAGAAGGGTGGTGGCGCAGGCGCGAGACTTTCGCAATCCCTTGAGAGGGAAACTGACGTGGACTTCGGCGGCAATTTGCAGGGAGGAAGGACCAAAGTTTCCTCAGTGTTTTCGCGCGCGTCGAGCACTCGCGATCGTCGCGAGAATTTTCGCAAGGATGTACGCTCGCGAGATCTTCATTAAGGACTCGTCGACAAGTGCCGCGTCCTTCGAGGATACCTAATGAAAATTATTCGATCAGTGACGACGCTAATTGTAGAGCGCGATTAATTAAATTTTATATAATGCGCGAGCATTATTATTGCTCGCTCAATTTAATTGTAAATCCCCGAGCGATCGAGGGATACGATTCAATAGCTTTTGAGCTTGACTGTCGTCATTTTAGTATTAGTTGAATATTAATTCGAATCAATGGCACATAAAGCCGGCGGTCTCGTGTGCTGGGTCGAGTTCGATATTTTTGTCCATCTTGGAGTGGGAAATTATATACCCCGATACATGATGTAAACACTCGATAAATTCTCTACCGGCGATCTTGGCAATACGTCAAACGAATTCCGTGAATTTTGCCTGCGATTCGAAATAAATTTATGCCCCGAAAGATAATTTCATTTATTTTCAAAATTTTCAAGTGGTAGTATTAGTAAAATTGCAAGAAAAAAAACTGCCTTTAATAATATTCTACATTAATTAAAATTTTTTGTAAATATATATTATAATTTATTTCTTCATTTCACCGAATGAGAAACAAGTCTCTGTTTCCTTCCCGAGGGTATAAAATATTTTGCGTACAGATTTTTCGAGTTGCACTAAAAAAATGTCTACTTGCGGATACGATTTTTCTCTATTAGCTTTTATAAACCGAATAAAATTCGAGATCGTCAGCACGCAACTGGGAAAACTGACAGATGCAAATATTTATAACAGTTGGCAAATATTTGTAACATTTCCAGCACGATGGTATGAAAGAATGAAATTGACCCTCGAATATAGCGCGGCTGTTTAGCGTCGCGCGGTTTCCGGGACCCGGTGAACGCGATCGATACCTTTATCGGAATCGCTGCGACCGGGCGTATGTAAAGAAGAAAGTGTCGGGGTAAAAAGTATGCAGCTACTTTCCAGCTTCATGGGTCGCCATACGAAGCGAGGAACTTCCTTAAAAAAAGGTACGTCGCGTCGCGTCGCGGATGAGCGCGCTCGCGTTCTCATGCTGGAGCCACGTGACATTAATTAGCTGGTTCAACACACGCACGGGAAGAGAGGAAAGACGGGAAGCGAAAATTTCACGCGTGAGAGATACGCAAAAAGATATCAGAATTAAGATTACGAGGACAACTTTTCTCTGACCTTCTTTCGCAAAAGGAAAAAAACCAGATTTATCGAGCAAACATTTCTTTTAATATGCCGCGACACCAAATTTTATATCAGATAAATAAACGTGTATTTATTTACTAAACGTGTGGAATAAAGAGATCTATATACACGGTTTCACCCCATACAGCACAGATTATTGCAATTATATGCAGCAACGTTGCAATGTTGCAAGTTGCAATGCAATATTATAAAGACATTGCAGAGATATAAGTGCACAAAATTCCAGCACACTTGTAGTAACATGACATTAATATTTCGGAAATATTGCATGTAATCCAAATTTTATAATTTATATATTGTAATATATATAAATTAACTACAACGTATTTTCATTAATGATTTATTTACATTTATATACCTGTATATGCAACATTAGTTTATGGTTGCAATAACAATGCATTATTGCAAACTCATAACATATTGCAATATTGTTGTAATATTTTGTTGCAATCTTCCAAAAAGCGGACATTTTAACATTGCTGCAATTCAACAGCAATGATGTAGCAACATTTTGCAGTGAATTTGCAATATTGCAATGTTGCGGTGAAAGATTGTTGTAATGTTTTTGCAATCTATCGGTGCTGTATGGGACTTATCACGCTTTGTTAGTTCACCTTCTTGGTAAACAGAAAAGGGGCTCAAGTTTGAAAACACATATAAGGATATAACTTGTATATTTGCGCTATATTTGAAAACTAGGTCCATGCGAATACATGAAATATCGCCAAGATTTCCCATCAATATATAACAAAATGAGTTCCAATTTCTCTCTCACGATTTGACTTTCGACGTTCGCGAGCAGTTTGCGTCATGCACATATGTTGTGTGTATAAATATCGTCCATATTAGTTCCATGTGACATGATAAGACCGATACACCATGTAGCTGTAGTAACGTTTGAGCAAAATTGTTGAGTTTCTCCGCACACGCGTGCAGAAACTATGTGGAACGCGGAGATAGAATATTAAGGTAAAGCAGGCGCATGATCTAATAACTTATTTGATCGATACCCTCGGAAGTGCCTATATAACATCAGCGTGAAGCAGTTACGCTCACGCGATGTGGATGCTTCGTGACCAGTTTTGTACGGTACGGCGATCATCGAGAGCATCGAAATTGCTTTTCGTGGAACCTCTATGAAGACACGAACCCAACTTATCAAACAAACGCCCGATTTCGAGTTCTACTTCAATTCGCGTCGCGGACCTGGAATACCTTTTTCTTGCTCACTTAATTAACACGTAAGACGTACACGTGTGATATACATTTTTACGCAAGTTTTTAAATATAATTTTTATAGAGATTACATATATACGCACGTGGAGAAGGAGAGAGAGAGAGAGAGACTTGTGTTTATTTTATCGATTTTTATTCGTCAACACATATCGTAGGGCTACTTATTCCGACTTTGTTATCGTAACCGTATACGTTATTCGCGACACGCTAACGAATACTTTCGTTATATGTCGCGTTATATATATTCGAAACACGCGCGAAGAGAGCGTGATTCGCCAAATTCAATCTGCGGAAGTAATTACTCTTGGCACACAGTTGGACGCGACGTTCAACCACATGAAAGGTTACAACGTTATTCCACCCCTGTATGTGCCTCCATAATGTCAAGGTCGTGTTCTCAATTGTCGTTCTTATCCTCCTTAGTTTGATTTGTCGTGTTGAATCAATCGCTACCTGTTGCGACTGCAATATTGAATTGATGTGGACACTGCCAATCATATATATAAATCATTTATTCGCTGGCTACAAATTTTAATCAACTGTTTCTGAAGTATCAAAAATGAGCCTCTTTTTTCCAGGAAGTCCTTAGAGATGTCTAATAATAAACTTTTTCTTTTTCAATGGCAGCTTAATGAGCTGTTTCTGAAATATCAAAAATATCCAGAATCTCCGTTTCGAGGAAGACCTCAGAGAGATCTGATGAGAGATCAACTTTTTTCTTGTTCAATTGCAGCTTAATGAACTGTTTCTGAAATATCAAAAATGTCCAGAGTCTCTTTTTCTAGAAAGATCTCAGAGGTCTAATGAATAGCTTTTTCTTTTCTTCTTCAATAACAGCGTCAAGCAAACTTTTGATTCAAGGATATCCTTTCGTGTAGTTTTATTAAGTATAAAGTATATTTACAGAATAAATCAGTAGAAACGTGATTCGAAGGGCCGAGGAAAAACGATCGTTAAGCGAGACAGTTAGCTAAATAAATGGCCGGAAGATTTCCGCGGGGTACGTCGCGTGGATGCATTTCTCGGAGTGCATGTATGCACTTCTCCGCGGTAATAATTCTTAGGCGTGACACTTGTCCTAGCTCCTTTATCGGTGCACTGATTGATATGCACCGCGCACCCTATCCGTAGAATTGTAAATTTATTATAGACTATAGATCACTAAAGTGTAGGTTCACTGATCGCTGACTGTAGTTCCGCTTGAATTAAATAAAATTCAATTAACCCTCGGAACAGGCAGTAGAGACTCAAAGAACGTCACGATAAAAAGAATAAACTATGAGAAAAGATCAATAAAAATAATGGGATACATAAGCTCATCATCTTTGCTTTAATTATTAAAATATATAATGATTACGCATATAAAATAAATGCTAAGATTATCCTCTAGTTAATCTATAATTTACACATATATATATAATTTCCTTCCTTTGTCTACCTGTCTGAACGTGATTTACTTACACATTTATGGACCGATTTTCATGAAACCGGTATCAAAATTTTTCTTATTTTCCGGGTTTTTTGTTTTGTTCTTTTTTTTTAAATTTAATGTCAATAAGCACCCAATTCTGTCTCTTTGGAATCTAAAATAAAACAGAAATGAGAAAAGAAACGGAAACAAAACGTAACATTAGAAACATTTCGGTATACCAATTTCATAAAGATCGATCCCCAAATGTAGAATTAATTCGCGGTCAAGCAGACAGAACACCTAATTTTCTCTGTAAAAAGCCACGTAAGATCACCACTCTCCGAGGAAGGAGGAAAATTTGTTTACCTGTTTCGCGAAAATCGATCTATAAATGTACGAGTAATTCATCGATTAAACAGAGAAGAATAAGAGATATAAATAAAAAAGAAGGTTATACACCGCTACTCGCGCGGGCCGAAACGCTAGTTAAGCAATAATAAAATCCTTCGCGTAAAATTAGCAGCCATTAGTAGAAATTCAGACATCACTGCAAGTTAAGATCTACCTTCTTTCCACGTAGTTTCCTAGCGCTAAACGGAGTCGTTTAATTCCCACTTTATGTTCATCTCAACTGCACTCTGAATTGCGCTTAAATTTTCTCCACGGTGTTATGCGCGCACATAACATCTCCAACATTGAATGTATATTTTCTGTTCTTCAGGAAAGCGCGAATCCAACGGAGGCGGGAGTCCTGCTGGTAATTGGCCGTCTTCGACGGGGGGTCCAGTCAGACCCCTTAACAGTACCGGTGCGTCGGGGAGCACCAACATGACACCTGACGATCCCGCGCCCGACGAAGAATTCGCCCTCGCGATCGCACAAAAAGCACAGGTAAGCACTGCTTGTCAAAGGGAAGAGAGCTTTTTGCTCGGTCAAGCTGAATAATAAATTCTTGATAGCGGGACAATATATATGTCGCTCTCCTGCCGAGTCATTTCCTCGCCGGAGTTGAGAAATATAGGCCACGATAAATGTTTCCTCGCACCTTCTCGCACCTTCTCTCTCTCTCTCTTTCCGTGCATACCTTAAGTCGAAACCTTTTATAAACTCGTTAGTATGCAAATGGCAGTTCTGAGAAAAAAATTATTCTCCGAGTTTGTCCTTAAAAATGTATCGAAACACTGAAGAACTGGGGCTAGATTGGGTTTTATCGGGGAAAGATTGAATTGAACCGACACGAGGAGGAAAATTAAAAATCAAATTATTATTGAAAAATAATTAATTAAAGTTATTAATTGACATTTATTTGACGTCGCGTTGAAAATGTCAATTAGAATTTTTAATTAAAATTCAATCAAGAGTTCGTATAGGGGGAGAAAAAAATTAGGACAAGCGCTACAAAGGTATAATAATCGCGTTGAAATGCTCGCGTATATGAGACTAACTCGGATATACGTACTATAATTTCTCCCGTGGAATGTTCCTCGAGCGCAGGTAACCTATGTAATTTCAATGGCCAGTGTCCCCGCGTGTATACGGCGGATACATTTTTCAAAGGAACCTACGCGAGCTGAATCGTCAATTCCGTAAAAGCGACCGTGAAGCACAATGCTCCGTGAAGAAGAGAGGAGCCGGAACGACGCGATGCGATGTCCCGCGTTCAAGCGTGTTCGCGATGCATACAACGTACGCATCGTTGAACGCTCGCTGACGTCGTTATGGCTATTGTCGTGGAACTCAACGATTTTTTTAACGTTCGCTTTTGTGGGTTTTCAAGTCGGCCTATTTAAAGCCTCGAGTGGCTCGTTCGCGGGAAAATATGTGACGATATTTATTCAGCCGATTTCTCCCTCTCATAATCCCAGGGATTATTTGTCGATTTACCCTATTCCGAATTTTTTATTTTAATAGAATCTATGGATCTGTGTTATTCGTGTGACTGAGAAATCAATTGTGATTTGCGAGATTTCGCAAAAAAGTAGAATCAGTTGGAAAATGAAACAATACGAAAAGAAATCTCGTATTTTTATGAGGAAAAAAAGAAGTACAATAAACTGGGGAAACTTATAAGAATTGTAATTAAAATAAATTTAAATGTATTTTTTGCTTATTGAATTTGCAGTAATTCCATATGTAGTTTCGTTTCGTTGTTCGTGTTTCACGTTTCGTGTTGATCGAATTGAATTTTGAGAAGAAGAAATTTCTTTCATGCATGGACCGTGTCTGAAACTGCATAAACATTGTTTACATACCATATAATGATTACCTTGCGGAATATATAAATCATCCTGGAATTTTATTGATCTTAATTTTAACATAACTTTAAATATAATTTTCATAATTTTTTGATAAATTTAAATTTTTTTCAGAAAATTTTGTTAATAAATTCCCAAATAAAATTTTGAGAAAGTTAAATTTCTTTAAGGAATTGAGTGAAACTAATGAGACTTTGTTGCTCGTTTGTAGTCCCAAATTTTGCCGCTTCGAAGATACGTCTATTAAAATAGAATTTATCGTAAGTTTTGGTCTAATTAATTCTCTAGATATAATTTAAATACTCTAATAATTTTAATATTATTATTGTATTATGATATTATAATTAATTATCACGGTTCTTTGTTCTTCGAAATGTTCTATGGCATTTTATTTTATTAGAAAAAATCAATTTTTTTCAATTAGATAAGAAAATAGATAAAAGATGAATAATTAAATACCTCGAAGCCTTTATGAAAATTTATGGATGCAGAACTGAAATTATAATGTGGGAAGTCATTGAAGTAATACTTTCCGGCATGGAACTCGTGGGATTTCTCGAGCGATCTTTATCTCGCACTCTTTTCTAGTTACTCTACCGAGAGTAATTAACACTCTACTTGAAAACAGAATCTTTCAAGATAAATTTCGAACACGTGCTGTATTCGAAAGAAGCCGATCGCGTTTAAAAACGTTCATTTTTTTCATACACATAAAGATTTCAACATAAGTGTTTGCGAGATGCAAGCGATCTTACTGAATATACAAACTTATCACATCGCCGCAGTATTTACCTCATTATGATCTAATTAATGCAAATAAATCGTAGAAAGTGCTTCTTTCTTCGTAGATAAGGCAATTTATCTCAAAGAAATCGATGCATCTCGACTCGGTTTTTTCACACGGGGCATGTCTCGCGCGCAGAATCTCTTCTACAATTAAGTCGCTTCTCTGCGCGTAAACGTCATAAATTATGATGCAAGAGTAAAACAATCTCGCCGATGATATTTATTTCGCCGTAATTTCGTAAATGGGAAAAATACAGCTTGCGACGAGAAATCCGGCTCTCTCGGAATATTTTATGAGAGGCCGGAGTACGCCTCTCTTAGCATTGGACAACTTTCCAATTAATGAAACGTTACGTTCTTGACGGAACAGGTTGAATTACTATTGCGTAAGGGGCGCATGTTGCGCGCGACAGCGATCTCGCGACCTCGAGAGGATATCGAGAGGTACCTCATTGCGTTAATTTCGCTCTAGTTAATTTTAAGAGCGGAGCTCGCTCAACTCGCTTCAGAGACATGAAATAAATTCTGCGAAAATAACATCTTCGAGAGCAGAAAATAATCGCATATCTACATTACCTCTTACATTATAAATTAAAAACATTTCGCCGCGGAACGTCTTCATTATTATACTTGTTAATCATGTAATATTATAATATGATATATTGGATATCGAAAAATTATTAGAGCGTCTTGAAGGATTAATTAGACCAGTTTACGATAAATTTTTCCTTAACGGAAATATCTCTCCTTTCTCAGGTGACATTTATTATCATATTTCGGTATATATGATGCTATTCGAATATGCTTTTATTCGATATCAAGTCATATTTTCTTTTCTTATCCTCACCGAAAGAACTATATAAAATTCCATAAAAAACGAATCATAAAGCCTTTTATTTCTTATGCTTACGATTTATTATTCAAACACGAGGTTAATGACGCTTTTCGATGACGTCAGAGAAATTTTTTCGACGTTACACGCGACGTCGCGTGTATAAGCACGCAGGGATCATGTCCTACATCCTAGCAAGACGAAGATACGACATCTCGAATGTGTCGCGTGACATTGCTTTCACTTCGCGAATCTGAGGACAAAAATATTTTCCGAGAATATTATTCTGAAATTGCGATATACATATGTGCACGGTTTTAGCATTCCAAGGTATAATTACTGTTAATGATATGCTGCGAATAAATGTACGGACGGACTGTCATTGCAAAGTTTCTTTCTCATATCGCTAATGTCTCTTTATGTTGCAATTGAATACGACAAGAATGCACCTATAGTGCACCACGTGTCTGTATTTAGTTCACTAAATAAAGAATATACGAAACGGAAAACAACAAGAAGAAATTATATTTTACAATTTCGCGGATAGCTTTTGTAAAATTGAAATAAGAAAAGTATGTGCATTTTATAATAAAGAATTAATTAATTGCGTCTACATTAAATACGATTCATCCACACATATGTATATCTTTTTTTAATATATACTTTTTTTAATTTGTTTTTAACATTTTTACAACTAAGTGATAAATATAAGGCCAACTTATCGAGCTGAATATTCGAGATGTTCAGTCAACTACCATTTATTACATGTATAAATTATAAAACTACAGTCATTATATTATATTAAAACTAACGCAAATTAACGCAAATTACAATCATTCTATAAACGTTTCGACCGCACGCGGTCTTCTTCAGTATAATTATTGAAAAATAAATTCTTACAATTCACATGATATCGAAATTTAATTATAGTTATTCAGAATCGAGAGTTTTTGAGCAATTAACGCGTGTTTCAATCACAGATCAATCAGAAGACTAGATAGTATGTTGTACAAGTTCAAAACAAATGCGATGAGCATTGAAATTTTTGATTTGCATAGACAGGTAGAGTCATTACAAAATAGGATTTTTCATCTCACTAGCGGGTTATTTAATCGTTTGCCTGTACTCGCGTGGAATAGAATTTTCGAACATCATAACATTGCTTTTAAAAATTGCCACAACAGATTGGTTACTGCACACGAAAAGAAATTCAATTGGCTTAAGAGAAAACAATACTACAAGTATATCAACAGCATCAAACCTATAGATATACATTGTTCTTTACATTTTGAAACTTCACAACCGACGAAAATATCACAAAATCTCTCAGGGCAATCACTAATGATGCCAAGGAGATCAATATACACATTGAAGCCAATAAATTTCTCAATGATACAATTAACCCTTTGGAAAATACTAATAAAAAATGGTTTGTTAATCTATCCAACACAGACATTCCGCCTAACGTATCTAATCTGTTGCAAATGGGTGATAAATTTGTCTTCCGAATATTAGTAAAAAAACAGCGATACATGAATTTATCAAGGACATAGAGAGTAATAGCAAACGAAATAATATTAATAATCTCACAACGATCAGAAATATCGCGGTTCCAAAATTTGCACAACTTCTTAACACGAAGGATAAAAATGACGTAAGTCAACAAAAATTACTTGGTGCACACAGAGATTTAATAAAATTTTGTAAAGACAATCCGAATGTTCTATTCACACGCGCGGACAAAGGTAATGCTACGGTCGCGATGGATAGATCTTATTATATTAACAAAATGGAAAACGTTTTAAAAGATGTCAACACTTACACTATTGTCAAAAAAAATCCGTGCAAAAAAATAGAGAACGATTTGAATGGTTTGTTGAAGAGATGGCTTAAGGAAGATTATATTTCAAAAAACGAATATTATAAATTACGTTGTAGTGATTCTCTCCTTCCAAAAGCGTATGGATTACCTAAAATCCATAAGGAAAACTATCCGGTTAGAATCATAGTTTCATCGGTTGATACGGCTCTATACTCGCTGGCTTCGTTTTTACAAAACACCTTACGAACTAGCCTACCCAAAGCGAAAAGTCATATTAATAATAGTTTTGATTTGTACAGCATATTGTCTGGTAAAAAGATTGATGAGAATGATAGGATGTTTTCCTTGGATGTGGTGTCTTTGTTTACGAACGTTCCTCTGGATCTTGCGATTGACGGTATTAACGATAGATGGGATCACATTGGAATAAATACTAAAATACCGAAAAACGAATTTTTGGGGGGTATAAAATTCATATTGACTTCTACATATTTTACATTTGATGACATAATTTATAAACAGACGTTTGGGACCCCTATGGGGTCACCGTTATCACCCAATTATTGCAGACCTGGTTATGCAAGATCTTGAGGATACAGTTCTCAAAGCGTTGAATTTGGAATGTTTGTTTTATTTTCGTTATGTGGATGACATAATAGTGGCCACCTCTATGACTAATATGACTCAGATTGTGAATAATTTAACAACTATCATGAAAGACTTAAATTCACGGTCGAACAAGAGGTTAACATAGCTTGAATTTCTTAGATTTATCACTTAAAATTATTAATAACAAAATATATATAGACTGGTATCAAAAAGAAACCTTCTCAGGAAGGACGTTATCATTTTATTCAAACCACCCATTATGCCACAAAATTGGAATAATATATAACCTTGTAGACAGATGTCTATTGCTATCACATCCACTATTTTTAATAAAAATTTGGAGTTAATTATTAATATACTCAGAAGCAATGGTTACCCTCTTGATCTGATTTTTAACAAAATTAATCATCGGATAGAACACATCATATCTAAGGGGAGCATTTTAGAGAGACAGGCCAACATAGAAAGAATAAAAAGTATAAGAAATGACTCGGTTAATAAAAAATTCTTTGTCATTCCGTATATAGATAGGGTCTCAGAAATGATTGTTTCCTCGGTGAAAAATAAAAATTGTATGGTAGGGTATAGATGTCTCAACAAACTGGATAATATTATTAAAGCACAGAAAGATAAAACTAAACATCCATGCAATTCGAATGTGGTTTATAAGATCAGTTGCAATAATTGTAATGCATCTTATGTAGGCCAAACAAAGAGGCAATTGCAGACGCGAATAAAAGAACATAAAAATAATATTAGGTTGGACTCAACGAAACATTCAGTAATTTCTGAACACATAATAAATGAACATCATACTTTTAATTGGGACAATGTTAAGATCATGGACAACGAAAATAATTATTATAAAAGACTCATTTCTGAGATGCTACATATCAAGGAACAAAAAAATGGACTAAATTTAAACAAAGATACTGAGTTACTTAGCGAGTCGTATTTTGATATTTTGGATATATTAGCGAACAATAAATAATAATAGGACAAATAGGACATTAACGAGTAAAACATAGATATTAGATCATATATAAACACGCACGCTCTCCGATCAAGTAGAGTTTAAAATGAGCTGTCTTTCTGTATTGTTGTTTGTTAAGTGTCATCCTTAATAACTGTTAATAAGTAGCAAAATTGTCAAGAAGAACGATGATAGGTAAGCATACTACCAATTGTAGGGGATATATATTATAATTTGGACATACGTTGATCGGTAATTTCTTATAAATCGCAGCGCCTACGGTACGGGTTAATTTCTCGCATATTAACGATGAAATCATCCGAGATCTGAACAAAATCAGAGATCATATCGAGGCGAACATTGTTGGACAGGACGGATTGAAACACGCGTTAATTGCTCAAAAACTCTCGATTCTGAATAACTATAATTAAATTTCGATATCATGTGAATTGTAAGAATTTATTTTTCAATAATTATACTGAAGAAGACCGCGTGCGGTCGAAACGTTTATAGAATGATTGTAATTTGCGTTAATTTGCGTTAGTTTTAATATAATATAATGACTGTAGTTTTATAATTTATACATGTAATAAATGGTAGTTGACTGAACATCTCGAATATTCAGCTCGATAAGTTGGCCTTATATTTATCACTTTGTTTTCAATACACGAGCGACAATTTGTATTAATTTATTTTTACAACTGTTTCTCCTTTTACATTTTAGAACGACGTAAAAGAAGAACACATAATTACTTGATTATTGACTGTGAATTTAAATTCGAAAATGTTAAATATGCATATAGGATATATATATATATATATATATATATATGTGTGTGTGTGTGTGTGTGTATTTTATACACACCGAGACAAAAGTAATATTCTCGAATTAGAGATCGAACGCAATGAAAATAATTCTAAATGAATTCGCTATAATATAAGAATGAAAATGGTTCTAATAGCAAGGCCATGATAAAATATAAAATTAATCAAATGTTTTTGCACGTCACACGCATTATCAAAAATTAATTATCTCATTATTAAGCGACAGAATAATTATAGAATTGATTCGATCGTCATTAACATCGATGTTAATACAACGCGCATTTCGAGCGCGTTACGCTCGACACTCGATTATCGCCGAATTAATGCGACGCATGCGACCGGGGCGGTCCCATCAGGGCTCTCATATTTATTTGATGTATGCAAATGCATGCGCGCACGAATGCACCGGATAAAATGTATCTCTTTGCAGAGAGACGCAGAGGCAATCCGTACCGCTCTGTATCTCGGAGTGGCACTCGCGATCACCTGGATAATAGGAGCGGCGGGACTCTCGTTGGCGTGGCTGGTTCTGGTCTTGGCATTGGCTGCGACCGTCGTTAAGGCAAGAGTGTCCCGGCTTCTTCAGACGGAATTGCAACATGAATTGGCCAGGTTACGTAGGAGACGGGCTTTGTACAAGGATGAGACCGCCGAGTGGCTCAGCCTGCTCCTCAATAAGTGGTAAGTACCGTTTTCAACAGTTATCGATGACTCGAGAAAGGCTAATTGCGAAAAAGGGACACCTGGTATATGTTAATGTACCATCTGCTGTATCCTTTGTTAAGACGTGTCACTTATTTGAGTTGCCTCCAAAAGCGTATAATTATTGTTGAGTCAGTTATATTGTACAAAGAAATTCGTATCTACGTCTTTTTTTATTACTGGCACACATTTTTGATAGAAAAACCAACTATTTAAATATAAAGTGATATTTAATTGTTATATCATTTTATATATTAAATTGTCCTTATTTTAAAAAATTATAAAAATATTTTCAAAAAGAGAATTTTAGAAATGCAACGAAAAATGTAATAAAATATATACATTGTTATTTTCTTATACATATACTTATAAATTATTTTTCGTATAGCTACCGTAGAAGCTGTAATATACACTCTCAATATATCTAAATCATACACATATATATTTTATATAATATATTATAATTTATAATACACGCATATCGCGATTGTCCTCGTATCGGATGGGTGAATGAACTTCTCTCTCGTTTAAGAACGAGCACTACATATATTGTAAACATACCACATTCCTACCGCACGTGATGTATGTATAGATGTAGCCTTTCACGTTTCTGTTCCTCGTGCCGCGAATAAAATCCTTGTCCGTCGTTGCTGCTGACATATGTCGAACGAAATGATTTGTCGATTCTAAAATTGACGTGATTAAATAAATCATCAGTAAAATATTATAATGGATTCTAAAAATCATTGCCAGCTGGATTCCACATCAATTTTAATCAACTACAGACGTAAAAGAGAAATCGAATATAATTATATACATAAACTTGTTATTTAAAATTGCAAAACATATATTTTTAACAATTAACTACTGACTACTTGTTGGAAATAAAAATGTTAATAAAAAGATGGTCTAATAATGAAAACGGAAACGTACAAATAAATTTATGATGATTAACTCTAAAAATTGCGCATTAATTATCGCGCGTGACTTCTAATTAGGCTGTCCTTTCACATTCTTTTTAATAAAAGGCTGTCAAGATTTCAAAATTTTGAAGGTATTTATTTAGAGAAAAATATATACATATACGTATAATTGTGTGCACGTTTAAGAGCAATTATTTTCACGCACGACTCGTTTCCTCGTTTGTCAGTGGCTGAAAACGACTAATGCGGCAGGCGGGAATAGGCGAGGAAAGAGTGCTACTTATTTGGATAGTTGATAGACCTGTTCGAGGCATTCCTGAACTGCCGGCTCGGGGTTCTCACCGAGTGGCGAGGATATCTACATGAGGGAAAAAGCGATGAATTCAGCGCGACACGTTATATACATGCATTGTACGCGCATAAAGGAAACAAATGTGGAGGACAGAGACGGTGCGGAGCGATCGCATCGGCGTTTATTTTATCATGTAGAAAATGTACGAACGTACGAAAGAATTTCTATAGAATCGAACGTTTCATAAAAATTCCGTAGAATCCAAAGAGCATGTACAATAGACCTTATTTCCGTACACGTGCGATAATGTTCTGAAACAAACATGAAATAGTACCAAAATTTCGTTTCAATTCTTTGATTCGAAGAAAATAGTAATAATATGAAATTAAAAATATAAATAATAATTTTTAAAAAATTATAAAATATATAAATATTTATTGTAATAATTATATTTAAGAGAAAAGAAGAAAATATATATGATATTCTAATTTATATTTTATGAGAGAATTTACGATGAAAAACGTGAAGACATCAAAATTGAAAATGACAAGATGTTATCACTGTATCCTAAAAATGACAAGTGCGTGGGCACGTGTTAATCCATTCATCTGCAATCTCGTTTTTAATCTATTCATAAAAACCCGCGTGGGCTGTCGAGCATTATATACGAATCGACTCGTTGTCGATGGGATGTCAATTAGAGATAAACTCTGAAAATAACCTACTTCTCATGATACCAAACCACATTACAAGTACACATTTTTCATGCTCGAAAGAGCGCTTTATCGTAGTAAATCTCGCTATTCGCTTAATTAAACTGAATATTTCATGAATCGTATCTTATTACGTCGCTTTTCGAAATATCTTTTCGCAGGTAATATGCATGGAAGAAATTAGCAGGAATTGAGAATATTCTCTGCGAAATAGATTTAATAAGTTCAAACGAAAGCTAGTATTTTTAATTAAATCCAGCCAAGATAATGGAATGCAAACATGCAGATGACAATAAAAATGAAATTATAGGATAAGATGAAAGGAAATTCTTTCTCTCATTTATATATTGAATATTATTTCTACAGGTGGAGATTCAGCGCCGCCAGTATTTTTCCTTGGCGAAGGAACGATTGGAGCCTCTCCTTAATGAAGCTAAACCCGGTATACTAGGTAAGGACATTATTAAAAATAATCGATCAATTTGCACAAATAAAAAGAAACTTTGAAAGAAAAACTTGCGAAAGAAATTAATAATTAAGCACTGAGAAAAATTCTAAATTCATCGTTGATTTTTCATAAGAGATCCCCATTTGTCAGGTCCATTAGAATTACGCGAACTCACTCTCGGCGAACAAACACCGTGCATCACTCGCGTGAGAACACTCGATTGCTGCAGCGACGATGACCTTCCCAGTGGACATCATTCCGGCCAAGCTAAACTATCCATCGAAGCCGACGTGCGGTTGGACTGCGAGCAGTTCCGCATGCTCATCACCACGCGGCTGTTTGGTAAAGGGTGAGAGACAGATGAAATCTTTGCTATTAATAATTCTACAAAATTATCTCTGTATTTTATCATAATTTTACGCAAATATTGTTTTATCTTTTGCATTTTCGTTATTCATAATTTTGCTGTAATTATTTAGTCAACATTGATTTTATATATAGAATGTTCCCTTTTTCCCTTTTTATTCTGAATCACTCTAAATTATTTTTAATTGCGGAAAAATGAGCTATCATAGCTAAATTTGAGCTATAATAATATTTTTGCTAATATTTTTAGCTACGCAGAAAGAATTTTCTTGTAGAATTTATCCTGAAAAACATTATTATATGTATGTAGTAAAGAGTGTCTCTGATTAATATTTATATCAATAAAAATATTAACATTTACCACAATATATTCGACTAATTTTACTATATATGTACGTATTAATATTTTTCTTGTGGTAAATATTAATCGGAGAAACCCTTATAAAATTCTTCCATATCATATATTGTCCTATGACTTTCAAGATAAATTCTAAAAGAAAATTCTCTTAGTGTATAGAGTTCTTCGTTAAACTATAGCTAAAAATATTAGTTAATTCCCACAATTAAAATTTAGATATGATAGCTAAATTTTAGACTGTAATATAGGACTAGCGAAAATTTAGCTACGGTGACAAACCTTTTTCATATGATTCATCACTATCGCGCGATTCCTAAATTAATTTTCTGTCTAAAAATTGCATAAATGCGTTTTTAAAAATAAATACCTCGTGATAGCGTGGGGATGGACATTGATCTGGCGGTGGAAAAGCTGTTGTTATCTGGCACGATTGTCATCGATCTAACGTTAAACACGTCGGCACCTTTTCCGCACGCGACCGGGCTCAGCGTGAGTTTCCTGGAAAAACCGGATGTCTGGTTCAGCGTAAGAATTCTGCGAGCGGTGCAGATGATGGAGATGCCATTGATCAAGACCTGGATTCACGCGGTGGTGACGGATGCCCTGGCCAGCTGGCTGGTCGACCCGGGTCATCTGGAAGTAAATTTAAGGGCGCGTGAGCGACCGGGTCCTGGACTGGATTCCGTGACCAATTCCATACCACAAGGAGTGCTCACCGTTGTTCTGTGCCAGAATGGTTGTGCCGGTAAATATTTCTTTAAAAAGATCCCTTATTTACTATACAGGGTGTCTCAAACTCAAAATTAATAGTAACTTGTTAATGCAGATTCCTGGGATTATTCAAAGACGAAAATTATTTTCTTCAGTTAAATTTCGAGGGAGACTATCGTTTCTTGCGCGTTCCGAATTTTTGCCATCATGTATCTTCGTAATTAAGTCTTAAATTAAAATTCTATTAAAGTAAACTTAACATGAAATTAATAAAAGAATGTGATTTTGTTAATATTTTATTTCCATAAGGCTTAGTTTGCGAATAACCCTTATTTTCAATCGCTTATAACTCGAAAATTATTGATGCCTCGACATTTTCGTTGAGGAAAAATCGTCTCTAAATTATCCCAGGAATCTGCCATTTACAGGTTTACTACTAGTTCTGGGACATTCTGTATTTATTAAATTATAATTATTCGTATTTTTAAAGAACTAAACCGATGAGAATTCTTCTTTCTTCATTTTACATGTATACCTGTATATCAAAGTGAAAATTGAAAATAGATTAGACTAAAAATTTCAAAACACTCGAAGGTAAAATTTCCTTCTAACATGATCTGAGTATATAATTAAATCGTGCGTTTTACCTTATCGTATTATCGTTAAACACGCAATTGTTATATTGAGATCGACGCATATTATTATGAAGTATCATCATTAATAAAGTTGCTAGAAAGTTCTTAATGAGTCTTTCTCCAGCAAACGTTGCCGATGAGGTGAGATGGCTCGTGGTAACAATAGGCGATCAAAGACGAATTACCTCGAATTTGAGCTCCACGTGGACCGAAGATGTGTCTTTCTTAGTCGGGTCATTGGACAATGAGAGGATCACCATCAAACTGAAAGCAAAACGGCTCGTTAGTACCATCACTTTGGCGCAATTCGAATTGGCATTAGGAGTCTACGATTGGGAGAACTCGCAGATGTAAGCATTGATCGCATTTAATTATACAAGCTATAATTAATGCTACTTTCTTCAGTTTTATGCTATTATTAATATGAAATTAAGTTTCTTATCGATCTTTAATATACTCATTAATGCATTTATCTTGATGCAGCGTTGAGACTGTGTTGCAACAGAAGAAACCATCCCGTAATAGCGTTAACATTCCGAATATCAACGCGCGATTAGAATACACTACTCTTCCACATTTGGATCCCGAGTTACCACAGCCAGAATTAATAGCTGATAATATGCATCTTGCAGGTATATATATACATAAAAATAAATTTAATTAATAAGATATTAATTTAAAAATACGGAGAGAAAGTATTATTTTACTCGATCAATTATATATGGATTTATTCAAGTTGGAACGAACATGCTTTTATAAAATATTTTTCCGCGATTATCAATATGAAATATGAAATATTTTCAGTGCCGCGAGACTTTTGCCACAAAGTGCACAAAGCAGGTAAATCTGATTGAGATATCGAGTGACGAATGCGAGTTTGAGCATGGATTTATGTGCAATATTTTTTTTTATTGAAACGCGCTATTTAACTAAATGTGTGTACGCTTGATTATTTTATTGCCGAGATATTCATCGGGTAGTAAAGCTTTCAGATATGTCAAGCTTTGTATTTTATCATTCGCTTTGTAGCGTAAAAATTCGTAAAAGTTGTGGATGTATTTTTTTTGTAATAATGACGAATGAGAGGAATTTTAATCTTCATGCATTAATTAATGCGTAATTTTTAGGAGTATTGGTGGTTTACATTCACTCCGCTGACAATCTTAATGGTGACGTTGCACAGTGTAATCCATATTGCATGCTATTCAACAATCGGAAGAAGGTAAAGCCATTTATCTATCGAATATATTTTTACAATATTTGAAGCTACATCCATGTGTGAATTATTGATGTTGTATGGATTTTTAGGTCAAAACAACGCATTATATTCGTTCGACCACGTCCCCGGTTTGGGACTGCAGAGCGCAATTTTTAGTACAGGATTACACTCAAGTATCGCTGAGCTTTGTCATCTATTCATGGAATATAGCGAAATCAGTGGATACGGATATGCTTGGATTAGCGATGCTATCTCTATCTGAGGTAAAATCCAAATAGGTTTTTTTTAACAAACTAAATTTAGCGCGTCAAGTTATATAAGATTAATAACCTCCGCAAAATAAGATTAATAACCTGCGATATTAATTTAAATCTGATGTCAATTTAAAATAGATTTATTTATTCTTGCATTAAACTCTTTAATATTACTATTATATTGCGACTGAAAAATAATGTTCTATTAAAGGACACGACGTGGATTGTCAGAAAGGAACTTATACTCAGTGGCTCCAATATTGCTTCTTCCATGACAATCTCCATTCTTTTTATCCTGTCAAAAGCATACAACAAGTGGTTAGCAGTCGCAGAAGCAGCATAGTTCCAACTACGTTGGATGACGAACCAAAAATCAAACGAAACAGTCTACCGTGGATGCAACAGGCTGTAAATTGATTAGAAATCTTGTATTTTTTTCAGAAAAAAATGTTCAAAAATATTCACTTAAATTTTTCAAAACATTTTCAGAAATTGTTATTAACGCACAAAGACGTTGATCCCGCTTCCTCCGATATATCGAGTTTACTTTCCACCGGAAGTGGTTTGATGGAAGTGACGCTATTGCGCGCGAAAGATCTCGTTGCGAAGGATCTGAATGGTTTCAGCGATCCTTTCTGCGAACTGAAACTAAACAACGAGACAAAGTACAAGAGCAGCATAAAGAAGAAGACGCTGAATCCTTGCTGGGACGAGAGTTCTATCATGGGTTTGCCGAAGACCGGAGAAGCTTTAGATATCGTAATTTTATATATTTCTTTTTTCGCTAAAATTGTCATTAGAAGAATAAAGGAGCTGACATTATTAATCGGTTACAGGTATTATGGGATCATGATACTTTTGGCATGAAGGACTACCTTGGGAAAGTATCATTGACTCTCGATGATATCAGAAAGCTATCAAACAGCGATCAGTCCCATTGGTTTTCGCTCAGAGAAACCAAAACGGGATCTATAGAGCTGAAAATTAAGGTCTTATCGGAAGAATGCGAGGTAACGAGCTTATATCATATTTTTATTGTGCTATTTTATTGTTTTATTCTGGCAATAAATTTCTACTTGCGGTTTTATTCATTCTAGACGCAAAGTACGTACGCAACCAGCAACGTCAGCGACAATTCTTCTCGTCTAAATACCGAGCCCGACTCCTTGTCGAGTATTGTGCGAAGGCCTTCCATGGAAAAGTCAAAAATACGTCTGCACTTGGATCCAGTTATACCACCACCGCCTCCACCACGCACTGTCACTCTCTTAAAACCGACTACATCCAATCAGTCCGGTAATATTCACGTCGTTTTTCAATCAATGTCATATAATAGATCATTAAATATAATTTTCTTATAAAAATTCGATATTTCGTTTATAGATAAGATCAGCATCACCAGTAAGGAGTCCAACGATATAAACGGAACGTCGAGTTTCTGGATTCCGAAAGTTATCGCAGAATCCGCCGGTGTTTCCGTCGACGAGACTGAAACCACCAAAGTAATCGCAGAAAGACGTGCTTCCCATCACAGTTTGACCCCCAGTCCGGAACAGAGCTTCGGCAAGAAGTTACCACAGTACAACAGCTTTCGTATGATGAAACAGAAGGTAAGCGCGAATTGACTAGAAATCGTGGTAGAAATCTCAGTTTAAGGTATTTCGTGTAATTGTAGGTGAAGAGAGGTTTAAAACTTCGTAGATTCCGTTCGGAAGTAACTATAGAGGATAAGAACGATAGTAAGGGCATCACGTTGAGCTTGGAACCCAGAGGCGGCGGAGAGGCCGACGCCACGGAACTTCTCTCGGAATCTGGTCTAGCACACGCTGTATCCCAACCAGATATGTTAGGCAGAATAAGGCAACCCAGTCCGCGCTTGAGATTAAGGCCGAACGGTCAGTGGATAAGATTAAAATATCACATCATTATGTGATATTTAAAAATAATTTTTATGTAGACATTTTTATTATAGACCTTTGTCTCTTGTTGTTCATTTGAACTGAAAAATATACATATATTAGTAATAAGAGTTTATTATAGAAAAAAATATAATTGATGTTTTGGAAACTTGAAGTTAAAATATAAAATATATATGTATAAATTAATTTTTAGATTTAAAAATTGTCAATGGCACTAGAGAGAAGTATTCCGGGGTGGAAGGAAAGGTTCTCCAGGCGCAGGGTCTCCATGTAGCGCACATTGCCCAATTATACTGTCGAGTGAAGCTTCAAACGTAAGTGTACTTAACACGTTGATGATGAAAATTTGCACAGATGATTAAATTGAAAATCTCCAGGTGTACCAGTCCCGATAAGATCGTATCACCTAATGGTGGTAAAACTATCGTGAAATCGCGATTACTACCGGCTATGCCTAATCCTCAGTTCAGTATAGATTTTCATATAGACGGCGATGGCGTACCGAGGCAAGCTTTATTAATATTTGAGATCAGGAGTGCCAGCAAAGAATTGTTGGCCAGTCGGCGTATAACTTTACACGAATTGCTAGGTATTGTTTAATTTTTTTATACGTAAGATATATTTAATTGTACATTAAAATATAATTTAATGATGAATATGTTATATATAATTTGTTTTATATGTATATATGTAAATTGAGAGATTTTATCTATATATAATTAATTTTATATTAATTAATTTTAATTAATGTTATAATTAAATAATTGTGTTCAAATCTGTAGGAGTGTCCGCAGCTAGTGATGAGATTCACACGTGGTTAGCGCTAAATAATGGCGCCTCATTGGAAGTACAAATTGCTCACGGAAGGGAGCTTAAGAATAAGTCGGCGAAAAAGTTATTTCGTTCTTGGTCGGTACATCGGATAGGCAAAATATGAAATTTAAAGAAAATCAAATCAACAATCTCCTGTTGTACATCTATTTAACATATACTAATAAAACTGTAAATCTTTTATTCTTCGAGGAAGAATTAAATTTCGAGAAAATGAATTTCGTGTGCATTTTTTGTAAGGACAAAGAAAATTATTTTTACAAATAATATCAATTATAACCATATATATAACCATTTAAAAAAATTATAATAGAAGAATTTTTGTGTGGAAAGTTTTTTCCAGCTACGTCTATTGAAACTTCAACAGCATTTCTTATAATGTTCTTCAATCTTTTGTACGATTATATTGATGAAAAGTTTCTAATACATAATTTCTGACAAGATTGTATAAGATAAATTATATATATGTATGTGTGCGTGTATATGTTAAGTCCTAATTTATGTATATTAAGATTTTTCTAACATTTGCAGAATATGTAAGAACATTAAAATCAACGAGAAATATTCTCGAATACCATTTCATTCATATAATTGTAATTTCTGATATTTTACATTTGTACATTTACATGTATTGTTATTTCATATATATATATATATGTATATATTTATACATATATGTATATAAAATAACAACATATATAATACATTAATAATAATACTAATAATAAATGTATATTTTGTATTATCTCAAATATATATTATAACATTCTAAATATATCTATGTTATCAGAGTTTAATTAAGAAATTGTGCCTTGTACATCACACACAATTACTAAATATATTATAAATATAAAATTTCTATTTTATTACATAAAATTTTCATACATATAAATAATTATATATATTACAAAAACGACAAATTTTTAGTCTTGTTTCTCGATTTTTTGTAAGCGTAAATACTTTAAAATTTGAAATTCGCAATCGCAAAAAACGCAATTTTAGTAAAAAAAAAAAGTTAAAAATGCATAAACATTTTTTCATTATGTGTGCTCTATTCATTATAATAATTTATTGCAATTTACGTAATTACATGTAATTGCAAACATAAATATTATATAATAATTTAATATACGTATATATTCTCATTGGTAAGAAAATAGAGAACTTAATATTATTAAACAGATATTATATTTAACAGTTAATATTATTCAACAAATTGAAGCAAAAGTAATTAAGCTTTCAATGTAATATAAAACTTTACAATATTTGTAATATATATGTGTATATATATATATATATATATATATATATTATATATATATATATATATATAGTTTCACAGCTAATTCTTTCATTGAATTAATATCCAAAATCTAGCTTATCTTCATAACTTAATTCTATTAAATAGTATAAAATAAGATTGCACTTGTGTGATTATATCAATAGTGTTAGTGACATTTGTCTCTTTTTTTGGTCGACAAAATATTATACGAAATATTTAATACCTTGTGAAAATCAATATACAGCCCATTTCTATTGCACAACACTCATATCTCTTCTTAGGTTAGTTTACCTGCCACTAAAATATATCAAGGTTTTTATTCTTATCCCAATATATAATCAAATAGTTTAATGGAGCAGCAAAAGCGTAACTGGTTGACGTTTTTACCTTTAAAGTTGGTTGCGCACTACTAGCAGCTTCTTGTTCCCGTTTTTCAAGTTCCATTGCTCGTCGCTGTTGTCTTTTAACAGATTCTATATCTTTTATACCCCTTTGTTGCTGCTCAGCTATTCTTCTCTCAGCAGCCTCTGCTTGTCTCCTGCGTATAGTCTCCTAAATAAATAAATGTAGTCTACATAAGATTAATATGTTAAATATATAGTTAACGGCATAAGTTTATATATTTCATAATTATTGATCTATCATACAAATTATAGCAGAGTGAAATAAACAAACTAAAATAAACTTGAAATCAACTTTTATTAGAGCTCAAGCAATAAATGAAACAATTATTTCAAAGAAAAAGAAGAGAAGAGGAAATTGATTAAACATGACGCAATGATATAAAAACATTATATGCAGCTAAAGTATTAATATTTTATGTATTGTTATAAACCTGTACACAAACACAACCAGCACAGAAAACATACCCGGTCTGGCGTGAGATCTTCATACGACGATGATTCTTTGGAACAGAGTCCGCAACAGTTACCCATGTTGATACGTCAAATAAATCTTATAGTCGCTCGAAGCTTGCAGAATAATTGCTATTAAATTAATTTAACTAACGCCAGACAAAACATGTATGACAAACGCAGAGCAATGGTTGTTGGCTGCTTGGATCAGCTGTGCGCTGTGCCTATACGATGATACGCATGCGTATAGTGATTGGAGTAGGGAGACTACTTGACATTCATGAACAAGAAAGAATGAGAGAATACGTTCATTCAGTTTGATAGCTATTATCGAAAGAAATTTATCTTATTTCTACTAAAAAGATTTGTTACTGCATTTTTTTCATACATTGACAAAAATTATTAAATTAATACATATTTATTTTAATACTGTCATGTGTCATATAAATCATATATATATTTACTAGCTTCGCGCGGTCCTCAAAGCCTTTCTATTCGGACCGCGCTTCGCGCGGTCCTCATATAGCCTATATTAAATCCGTTTTAACACAACAAATTAATTCTTTTTGTATTACCGCGAACTACTTCCACATTTGTTGTCTGTCAAAATGTGTGTATAAAATATCTGGGAGAAAGAAATAGATAACATAGTAGTCATCCACAAAAAAATTTAAACATTTATTTTGGTTAATATATACTTTAAATATTTTTTTATTACTTAATTATTATATCCTTTTTTACATTTTACTCAATTTTTTTTTATTTCTAATGTACCCACCGCTAACACGCTATTATTAGCTCTCATACAATATCATAATTCTTCAATTTACAAAATTTCCCTGTATATTACATTTTTTGTAAAACATTTTTCACTTTCTTCAATTAAATGTCCTTGATTGCTACATTCATCAATTTTAATTTTTACACTTTCTCTTTTTGTTGCTCTAGAAAATGCCACATAAAATTGACCATGAGCAAATACAGGATGTGGCAAATAAATTCCAATTTTTTCTAAACTTTGTCCTTGTGATTTATTTATTGTCATAGCAAATGACACTCGAATAGGAAACTGTCTTCGTTTAAACTTAAATGGCAATTCCAAATCATTTGTAATTAAATCTATCCTCGGAATCATGACAATTTGTCCTCGAGCAGGACCTGTTATAACTTCTACATAAATTGTATTATTTTTCAAATTATCCTTGCACTGGGGACGGTGGAAAATGTTCAAAAGGTTTTCCAAAAGAATTTTGTGATAAAAACTAATGCTAATGTAAATGGATATCCCATCTATCAACGTAAGAATATTGGAATAAAACACATCGTTAGAAATAAAGAAGTGGTGTGACCAAGTCAATAAATGCGTATGCACATGGGTGCATGGGTGGATAAATAGAATGATAAAAATTTGTTAAAATCATAGTAGCCATCCCCGACAAAGTTTGAGTACAAATTTCGAAAAAATCTGTGAATAAATGTGTGAATGCGTAGGTGGAGGTGTAACACTTGAAAAAACCACATCGTCACCATCTCCACAAAATTTGCAACATTTTGGTACCAATTTAAAAAAAATCGGTTCATAAATATGCGATTGCGTAAGTGGGTGCGTGGGTGGAGGCGTAAACTTAAAAAAATAAAACAGCAGTTTTTCAGAAAAGTTGCAACATTTTGGTATCAATTTTGTAAAAATTGGTCCATAAATGCGCATGCATTTGTGTGAATGCGTGGGCGGGTGCGTGGGTTGAGATGTAACACTTGAAAAAAACCGCATCGTCGCCATCTCCAAAAAATTTGCAACATTTTGGTACCAATTTAAAAAAAAATCGGTTCATAAATATACATTTGCGTGGGTGGGTGTGTGGGTGAAGGCGTAAACTTAAAAAAATAAAACAGCAGTTTTCTCAGAAAAATTTACAACATTTTGGTACTAATTTCGTGAAAATTGGTCCATAAATGCGCATGCGTGTGGGTGAATGCGTGGGTGGGTGCGTGGGTGGGTGCGTGGGTGGGGGGGGTGTAACACTTGAAAAAAACCGCATCGTCGCTATCTCCAAACAATTTGCAACATTTTGATACCATGTGTTCAGAAATATTGCAAAAAAAGAAACATACCCTCCTCTGAGAAAAAAAAAAATTAAAAATTAAAAAAAAAACCCCACAGCAGCCACCCCCGAAAAATTTGCAACATTTTGGTACCAGTTTCACGAAAATCGGCCCACAAATGCGGAAGTAGTTCGCGTACATACATACAGACAGACGTGCTTATATATAAAGATTGCTTTGAAAAGAATTTATATATATATATATATAGATATATATATATATATATAATAAATATTTATTCATAATTAGTTTCAAATAAATGATTTATAAAGCAGTTTTATTGAAATAAATAATATTTTTATTTGAATTCAATAAGTTTTTTCAATATTTACTTAAACTTAAAAAATTAAATTAAATTAAAAAATTAGAGCAAAATATTTCTTATCTCATATTTTACTTCTGTCAAATATAGTTCAATTATTTTAATTTTATTAATCATACGTGAATATTTGGTAATCGAGTAATCCTTTATGTTATAAGACATTGTCATAAAAGTATATTATATATAATACTGCGTTATATATATGCATTAAATATTAATAGCATGTCGTAATAATTTTTTCTATCTTATAGAAAAAAATTATGGTAATATTTTATGGCAATTACATGCAAAAATCAATGATATTTAGGGCAATTTTGTGGTGTTTTCTTATTATTTCAATTCTAATAATTTTCGGATTATTTCAATTTCACGCGTCTATATTATCGTGAATCTTTTTTAATACCATCGAAGAACGAAATATATTGAATTTTATCTGTGACTAAAACATTATAAAAAAACGTATTACATGCGTGTTGTTTTTTTTACGAGAAATCCTCTCTTTAAATTTTGTACTACAAAAAAAAACAATTGTGTGTTTTAAAGCAAAATGTGCTTTGTATTTTTAATATTTTTATGTAAAATCACAAATATGTGAAAGAAAAAAATCATAAAATGTACATCGTCTTACTGTGATATCCACACAACGATGTATATGTCTTCTCTTATTAATGTCGGCGCAGCTGGCGCGAACATTGTGAAACGGCCGACAAGATTGAGAAAATTAATTGTCGTCTTCAAGAGAGCGCGTTTCATCTCCAGGAAAAGGGACTACGGATATCGAACAACGTTATACGTTGTTTGCACGTGCGATTAATCAACGTTCCCAGCTGCTCTGGGATCGAGAATTCAATTCGATCGGTCCACACTTTCCTTTGGAATCTGTCTTCGTCTCGAAAAATACTATTTTTTTTATCTGATGCGATTCTCTGCCAAAAATTCTCCAAAGAACTTTGGAAATTATTAATACAGAATATTGTTGACGAATATCGTTGCTACTCTACTAAAATAACATTTCTTTAAAAATTAACATTATATATATAATCCGAAATACATTTCTATATTATTTAAATTTTAAAATATAATTTTCATTATTTATTATTCATTATTTATATTAAACCGGAGTGAGAAATATTTTTTCTAAAATATTTGCCTAAAAAACATTAAAATATCAAAAATATACAGAATAAATAATATAATAATGATTATTATTACATGTAAAATAACAATGTCATTATATAAGTTTTATCAATATTTTTCATTTATTAAATTAATAATATTTGAATTTAAATAATAATTATATTTTTAATTTA